TTTACGGATACAACAAAACAAGTTGGCATAGCATACAAGGAAACCTCTCTGACTTGACAACGGAAAACTTTGTTAAAAAACTGCGGAACAATACCTAAATCTTTGAACTTTTCTCACTATAACTGCATAACGTTCAACTGGGCCTGCGCTGACCCAAGCTAAAACTAACTCTCTTTATAACGCTCAACTAAGAGAACCATAAATAAAGCCTATACTGCAAAGTTTGAACAAGTTAACAAGAATAAAATTACCGCAATTCAGAATTTTAAAATGGAACACTCAATTTTAACTTCAGAAGTGACTCAACAAAGTTACGAAGAAAAGAAATGAAAACTACAGAAAACCAACATAGTATAACAAACTGACGTCAATCAATAACCAAACTTTAAATTCTACGAACACTTTCAAAAGTAAATTCAAATAAAATTATTTTGTACTTCAAAACTCAGTCTGAAAACAGACTTCTTACCAGTTTGCTCGGGCCCGTCGGCCCGACCACCCTGCCGCGCCCGTGACGTCACACAAGCCTCACTGCTGACCGGCATCGCTCTTGCTTGCGACGCCCTGCTCGCTCTGGTCCTTGTCCAAGCCTACGTGGCGCTACCCCGCGCCCTGAGCCCTGAGCCGTACGTGCCGTCATGTTGCCGTCCTGGTCTCGCTGCCTGAGACCCGGCTCCTCTTGTCCTTGCGGCGGGCCGTCCGGACTGGACTGCCGCGCCCCTGCTGCCTCGCTGGGCCCCGCGGACTCGCCGCGCTCGGGTGAGTGTCGACGAGCTCCCTCGCTGTGGGGCCGGAGCGGTGGGCAAAGGGTTGACTGCTCGCTCTGCTGCTGGCCTCGGCTCGGCTCGGGCTGACTCATGGGGCGCTCACTCGCTGTGGATCTCTGCTCGAGCACTCGCTGAACTCAGGCCTTGTGTGTGCACGTCACCGGGCGGACAGAACAGCCAGACCGCCGTTCCTCCGCTAAACTGTCGAACAATCAAAACAAATTAGTGACTTTAAACACAAACAACAAAAATACTTCAAAATTCCAAAATCTTTCTAATAACTTAATCCTGTTACCAAATTAATTTTAAGATGATACAAATACAAACCAGATACAATCAAACACTTTGTTTCCCTTGAGGTCAACGTTTCCTTGCTGCTCGCATGCCAACTCAACTCCGCTCCAA